ACCAGAGAGAGAATAATAAACCATAAAGGAACAAGGATAGTTAAGGATGGAGAAGATTGGCACGGATTACAAACGACAAACTTGAAAAATTTAGGTTAAATTTTTCAAGATGCGTAAACCGTGACGTGGCTTTTTTAACTTCCGATTTCCTACGCAGCATTTCTCAAGCAGGAGAACATATTGGATACACAGAATTTTCCAAGAAAGTGGAGAATCATTTGCTGAAAAACGTCGGTTTCCGAATTGGAGCAAGACACCATGTCACGATCTGCTACTCCGTGATGCCTGTTTTGGAGAAATTGTGCTCATTTCTTAGTTTGCACAGCCACGCCCTGACAAAGTTACTGAGAAATTTCTCAGTACTATTTTTCCAGTTATATTATTAAATGTATCTGTTTTTATTTGAAGCAAAGGGATTCTATTTTGCCGCGAGTTTCTTAGTTGAAAATGCGATGAACACGTCTAAATGTGCGGAGAGTTTTCCCAGAAAGACAGGTTCCAAGATCTTAGAATATGGAGAAGGAGGGAATGTGGTCAGCGAAGCGAAAATTCTACAAAGGAGAGGAGATAAGTGATTTATATACTTCTTCTCATCCAATCAGGGTTACTTCATTCGACTCGTTCACCAGATTGTAAGAGTCTGGAACCGATAAATTGTTTAATCTACTTATCAAACAAAGAATTCTTGAGATTGATTGATTAATCTCTTATCAGTACAGCGCACTTCAAAGTTACAGTCACGCAATCTTTCAGCGTGACAAGTAAAGATATCTCTTTGATTGCGTGTCAAAGAAATCTTAGTCCATCATTGCAACTGCGGACAAGCCGAAGGGATTTCTTCGCAAGAAGGCTAACACCATGGCAGAGACGATCTACATTCCTCGGAATGATTCACCCAGGTTCACTGGCTCCTTGTTTTGCGTGTAAAACAACGCGTGTGTCTTGTAAAACGTCACGATTTCCGTCAGTCCGTCAAACGCGTGTTTGCCGATGACGTAGCGACCACTTGGCGTCAGCTCTATGGGAAAATGACGGATTCTGAAATTTGGAAAAGAAAGAGTTAAGGGTATTTAGTCACGAGGGGAATTTTGAAAATAATCGGTAAAAAGGTTGAATTAATACATACTTTCCACCGTACTTGACCGAGAGCACGAATGACGCAAACTGAAAAAAAAATAATAATAATAAAATAAATTAGCTTAACTTCTGGTGTAACCGTCGATTTATTGCTCTGTGATTTCAACTTATTTCTTCTCAGAGTATCAATCAGGCCGTAGTTGGAAAATATCTTCTCGAGGTCTCAATGACAGCCGACGGACCGAGCGAAGCAAGGTTCGTACAAGACCAGGGTCTATATATTCTCCATCTTTCGGAACTTAAGAGAATTCACATTTCGATCCACTGACCTTCTGAGTGCTTTCCCTTATCAAGTAGTCGAGTTCTTTGGCATTCTGTGGTCAGAAAAAATAAAATTAAAAATTAAATCGCTATCACAAGGTTTGTACAACTTCGCGAAAACATAATTTAAGACTGTCTCCGTATTTCTTGTTTGCAAACTGTTTTTCTCTTCTTCCGGACTCAGAGTCAGTGATACTAAATTTAATTAGCTGCTCCTGATTTTACTGAACAACCTTGCTGCAACAACTTGAACTTGTCAATTGGATAACACAGACAAACTTGTAAGAAACATCCACACATCTACGTAAGAGTGCTATCCCTAAATTCAAAGCAAAATATGAGAAAAGTCCCCATCACATACCCTCAACATAAGCTCCTCGCACTTTTGTCTGGACATTTTCCCGTAGTACCACAACTCATCCCCTGCAATTACACAAACAAGAAGAAATGATCATGAGGCTAGCAATCTAGTCTTCACAACAATGATTTCGTAATAAAAACTGCGCGTGTTCTGACAAAAGGTTACTTAGCAATCAGTGGAGCTCATAGAATTTTGACCATTTTATTACTTGCATTAAGAAACCAAGGGATAGTGAATAGTAACATTATCCCGAATATCATGTATTCTGCGACAAACATCACTTACCGAAAGAACTTATTCTTTCCCTTGGGTTGTTCTTAGGTGATTCTTCCTGTGAATTAAAAATATGAATTCCAAATTTAGAGCAGACTCTGTATCCAGACAATTCAATCCACAAAAAGAGCCTCCCTTCTTCTAAGCACTTCTCTAGGTCCCTCTTCTCTTAGGCCCCTCTTCTATGACCCTCTCCTATTCAATTAATTGCCTCTTTGAATAACCAGTTCCATCTATGAGACGCGCGCGCAGGGAATTATGGTAGTTGTATGCAATGTCTCGACGATGTCGTATGCGTAATGAATACAACTACCATGGTTCCCTGCGCGCAAGTCTCATAGAGGGAATGACCCTTTAAACGCCTTTATTAAGTCCTGCCCCTTCCTTTATGAAGCTCTATGAAGCTATCTTCCATTTAGCCCCAGGGCTTTCTCCTATTAATTTTCTCAACTATATTGTAAAGGCTATAAGGTTAACAGAGAAGTCGCAGTAATGGCACACGAAGTGGTCTTTGTTTCGGAAAGACCGATAACATTACCTCAGCCTGTAGCAGTTCCCAGAAATCACCAGGCGTCCACCCGACCACACCCTCAACACTCATCTTCCACCAGCCCGAGGCTTGCACTTCCAGTAACTGACCCACCTCTCCTTTACGTACGGAGATACACTTGGAATTTTTTGTTGTGAAGTCTTCCCGCGCAAAGTAATGCTCATTCACCTTTCCTGGAAATAAGAAATATAAACTTAGACAGGTTACGCAGGTTTGCCGTTTCTAAAGTTTCAGTAGTTTCGTCACGATGAAAAAAATAATGTTGTAATGTTATCGCGGGGGCCAATTACTGCGTTGTGTACAACGAAAGAGGACAATCACAATTTGAAGCAAAAACGCGCATCGTCCGCCAAGCGCGGGAAATCATGTCACGTACGTGGCGAAGTCAGTGCGAGAAAAGAAGCAAAGGGCGGAAAGCGCGGGAAAACATGTATTCGGTGACAAGCGCGGGAAAATATGCAACCGGTGGGTAATGTGAGAGATTACACGAGGAATGCCTTGTCGTAGGCAATGACTCGTGATAATTAAAGGGAATTGCTTTAAGATGATCACTATGGGCTTACGAGAGTGGCGTATTAAGAAGCAATCCGCCACAAGTTCGAGTAACAAGTGGACAAAAACTTTGTACCGAGATTATTTACATCGTTTCGCAACGAAACAATCGAAAGTACCGGTGAAATGAAACTGATGATAAAATTTTACCTGTTTTTGCACAATTTCTCTGAACTCTGAAATTTATTTTCTCGAGTTTCATTGGGAATATTTCAGGCAACCATATATATCTTTAGCTTAAAGAAAATGTACAAAGAACTGTAAAATACCTAAAATTATTCGGGTACAGGGTTTTTGTCCACTAAAAGCTGAAATTGCTCGATTTCCTATCTGATTTCGTCTTAAAACATCTGTACGTTTTGTCTACCTTAACATGTACCAAAGCTCGAAATATCAACTCTCTGTAGTGACTGTCATACATTTCATTTAACGTAAGTTTTGAGAGTTTGGTGGTTCATCAAGATATCCCTTAGTTGATGATTTTCTTTATTCTCATCACCTATCTTCTTAACACTGTATTACTGTGAGAAGGAGAAATGACATTTTGATCACCCAGTGATTAGACAACAAGATTTTCTTACCAGGGTTATGATCATGACCAGGAGGGGCGCCTGGCATTGGAGGGGCCTCTTCACTAGGTGCACCCACGAAATCCACTGAAAGCTGCTTTCTCAATTCCAGATCACTCCTCGGCGTCGGCACAGGTGGCTTGGGGGTTGGGGTTATCCTCTGTCCCGCGGCTTGCTCATCTTCAAATGCGTTGTAAATATCACCCACAGACAACGATCTCCGGGTCGCGGGATGCGCTGAACCTCCTTTCCTCTTCAGCATTGATGACGGAACCCACCCTCTTCTCTTGGCAGGGTCCACGGTGCAGACAAAAGCCCAGGCGCCATCTTCAGAGAGGAGACGCACCGTCTCACCCGTTGATAGTGGCAGGTCTTCAGCGCGATCAGCTGGAGGAGTATAATTCGTGATAGCCATATAATGCTCCCCAGGCTAACATGAGAGAAACACGAAAAACGACTGTTAGTCTGAAATGTTTACTCTCTTCTCTTCCTCGTACCACGCCCCAATCCAAACCCCGGGGCCTACAAGCTTACAGACATGAAAACGTCAGGCTAAATGATCTTTCAAATAACCTACAAAGGCCAGCATCAAAAAGAACTGTATTAGGTTCTCAAATAGATCTCCTAAATTCCCGAGGACTTTCTGTTTCTGAGAAAGTCATTTATTACAAACGGTCGTCTGGTAACCAGGCCAAATTCACGAAGCCCTGCCAGGTTACAAAATGCAAGATGCATAGAGCGATTTTGCGGAAGCCTTATTGGTGTTACTAAACACCAGGAATTTTTTTGCATTATAAAACAACTCATTTCCCAAAGGAGAGAAATTTCTCGGGATGCATCTTAAGTTTGGAGAACGTCTTGAATCTGACTCCAGGCTGGTAGAGTCTATGAAAAGAAAGAGGGCGAAACGAAAAAACAACTGGTAGGCGGATGAAAAAGCCATGTCTGGGTCGTAACGCAATCGGGTGACAAGTGTTGCGTGATGACGTTCCTCTCCAAATACGTACAAACGTACGTCATGTAACGCACGCACAGTACTTACAGTGGCTGCATGAAGATCTGGCCTGAGAACATTCTCATACTTGTGGGAGCCAAAGCGGACGATGCCATCATCTGGGGCTTGTAGCAAGCGTACTCTGGGCGTACTGGCCATCAAGGGTTGTCTAAACTCGCGCACTGTCGCATATCCAGGGTCATCATGGCTGCCATCATAAGAGTTGTGTGATACCCACACAGAGGGAGGGGGAGGGAGGTCTGGGTAGCCATTCCGTTTCTGTCGCATAAAAATTTCAGAAACATATTAATTAACAATTTTTCCACGAGCGCGCGTTGGATATGTATGGGTTATTGACCAAGTGTGGGGTCAAGATGACTGGATATTGGCCAAGTTCTTTTTTTGCGTGTTTATGGACCGAGACGGGGTCGAAGTCCATAAACTCGCAAAAAAAGAACGAGGCCAATATCCAGCCATCTTGACCGAACAAGCNATTATTAAATGTATCTGTTTTTATTTGAAGCAAAGGGATTCTATTTTGCCGCGAGTTTCTTAGTTGAAAATGCGATGAACACGTCTAAATGTGCGGAGAGTTTTCCCAGAAAGACAGGTTCCAAGATCTTAGAATATGGAGAAGGAGGGAATGTGGTCAGCGAAGCGAAAATTCTACAAAGGAGAGGAGATAAGTGATTTATATACTTCTTCTCATCCAATCAGGGTTACTTCATTCGACTCGTTCACCAGATTGTAAGAGTCTGGAACCGATAAATTGTTTAATCTACTTATCAAACAAAGAATTCTTGAGATTGATTGATTAATCTCTTATCAGTACAGCGCACTTCAAAGTTACAGTCACGCAATCTTTCAGCGTGACAAGTAAAGATATCTCTTTGATTGCGTGTCAAAGAAATCTTAGTCCATCATTGCAACTGCGGACAAGCCGAAGGGATTTCTTCGCAAGAAGGCTAACACCATGGCAGAGACGATCTACATTCCTCGGAATGATTCACCCAGGTTCACTGGCTCCTTGTTTTGCGTGTAAAACAACGCGTGTGTCTTGTAAAACGTCACGATTTCCGTCAGTCCGTCAAACGCGTGTTTGCCGATGACGTAGCGACCACTTGGCGTCAGCTCTATGGGAAAATGACGGATTCTGAAATTTGGAAAAGAAAGAGTTAAGGGTATTTAGTCACGAGGGGAATTTTGAAAATAATCGGTAAAAAGGTTGAATTAATACATACTTTCCACCGTACTTGACCGAGAGCACGAATGACGCAAACTGAAAAAAAAATAATAATAATAAAATAAATTAGCTTAACTTCTGGTGTAACCGTCGATTTATTGCTCTGTGATTTCAACTTATTTCTTCTCAGAGTATCAATCAGGCCGTAGTTGGAAAATATCTTCTCGAGGTCTCAATGACAGCCGACGGACCGAGCGAAGCAAGGTTCGTACAAGACCAGGGTCTATATATTCTCCATCTTTCGGAACTTAAGAGAATTCACATTTCGATCCACTGACCTTCTGAGTGCTTTCCCTTATCAAGTAGTCGAGTTCTTTGGCATTCTGTGGTCAGAAAAAATAAAATTAAAAATTAAATCGCTATCACAAGGTTTGTACAACTTCGCGAAAACATAATTTAAGACTGTCTCCGTATTTCTTGTTTGCAAACTGTTTTTCTCTTCTTCCGGACTCAGAGTCAGTGATACTAAATTTAATTAGCTGCTCCTGATTTTACTGAACAACCTTGCTGCAACAACTTGAACTTGTCAATTGGATAACACAGACAAACTTGTAAGAAACATCCACACATCTACGTAAGAGTGCTATCCCTAAATTCAAAGCAAAATATGAGAAAAGTCCCCATCACATACCCTCAACATAAGCTCCTCGCACTTTTGTCTGGACATTTTCCCGTAGTACCACAACTCATCCCCTGCAATTACACAAACAAGAAGAAATGATCATGAGGCTAGCAATCTAGTCTTCACAACAATGATTTCGTAATAAAAACTGCGCGTGTTCTGACAAAAGGTTACTTAGCAATCAGTGGAGCTCATAGAATTTTGACCATTTTATTACTTGCATTAAGAAACCAAGGGATAGTGAATAGTAACATTATCCCGAATATCATGTATTCTGCGACAAACATCACTTACCGAAAGAACTTATTCTTTCCCTTGGGTTGTTCTTAGGTGATTCTTCCTGTGAATTAAAAATATGAATTCCAAATTTAGAGCAGACTCTGTATCCAGACAATTCAATCCACAAAAAGAGCCTCCCTTCTTCTAAGCACTTCTCTAGGTCCCTCTTCTCTTAGGCCCCTCTTCTATGACCCTCTCCTATTCAATTAATTGCCTCTTTGAATAACCAGTTCCATCTATGAGACGCGCGCGCAGGGAATTATGGTAGTTGTATGCAATGTCTCGACGATGTCGTATGCGTAATGAATACAACTACCATGGTTCCCTGCGCGCAAGTCTCATAGAGGGAATGACCCTTTAAACGCCTTTATTAAGTCCTGCCCCTTCCTTTATGAAGCTCTATGAAGCTATCTTCCATTTAGCCCCAGGGCTTTCTCCTATTAATTTTCTCAACTATATTGTAAAGGCAATAAGGTTAACAGAGAAGTCGCAGTAATGGCACACGAAGTGGTCTTTGTTTCGGAAAGACCGATAACATTACCTCAGCCTGTAGCAGTTCCCAGAAATCACCAGGCGTCCACCCGACCACACCCTCAACACTCATCTTCCACCAGCCCGAGGCTTGCACTTCCAGTAACTGACCCACCTCTCCTTTACGTACGGAGATACACTTGGAATTTTTTGTTGTGAAGTCTTCCCGCGCAAAGTAATGCTCATTCACCTTTCCTGGAAATAAGAAATATAAACTTAGACAGGTTACGCAGGTTTGCCGTTTCTAAAGTTTCAGTAGTTTCGTCACGATGAAAAAAATAATGTTGTAATGTTATCGCGGGGGCCAATTACTGCGTTGTGTACAACGAAAGAGGACAATCACAATTTGAAGCAAAAACGCGCATCGTCCGCCAAGCGCGGGAAATCATGTCACGTACGTGGCGAAGTCAGTGCGAGAAAAGAAGCAAAGGGCGGAAAGCGCGGGAAAACATGTATTCGGTGACAAGCGCGGGAAAATATGCAACCGGTGGGTAATGTGAGAGATTACACGAGGAATGCCTTGTCGTAGGCAATGACTCGTGATAATTAAAGGGAATTGCTTTAAGATGATCACTATGGGCTTACGAGAGTGGCGTATTAAGAAGCAATCCGCCACAAGTTCGAGTAACAAGTGGACAAAAACTTTGTACCGAGATTATTTACATCGTTTCGCAACGAAACAATCGAAAGTACCGGTGAAATGAAACTGATGATAAAATTTTACCTGTTTTTGCACAATTTCTCTGAACTCTGAAATTTATTTTCTCGAGTTTCATTGGGAATATTTCAGGCAACCATATATATCTTTAGCTTAAAGAAAATGTACAAAGAACTGTAAAATACCTAAAATTATTCGGGTACAGGGTTTTTGTCCACTAAAAGCTGAAATTGCTCGATTTCCTATCTGATTTCGTCTTAAAACATCTGTACGTTTTGTCTACCTTAACATGTACCAAAGCTCGAAATATCAACTCTCTGTAGTGACTGTCATACATTTCATTTAACGTAAGTTTTGAGAGTTTGGTGGTTCATCAAGATATCCCTTAGTTGATGATTTTCTTTATTCTCATCACCTATCTTCTTAACACTGTATTACTGTGAGAAGGAGAAATGACATTTTGATCACCCAGTGATTAGACAACAAGATTTTCTTACCAGGGTTATGATCATGACCAGGAGGGGCGCCTGGCATTGGAGGGGCCTCTTCACTAGGTGCACCCACGAAATCCACTGAAAGCTGCTTTCTCAATTCCAGATCACTCCTCGGCGTCGGCACAGGTGGCTTGGGGGTTGGGGTTATCCTCTGTCCCGCGGCTTGCTCATCTTCAAATGCGTTGTAAATATCACCCACAGACAACGATCTCCGGGTCGCGGGATGCGCTGAACCTCCTTTCCTCTTCAGCATTGATGACGGAACCCACCCTCTTCTCTTGGCAGGGTCCACGGTGCAGACAAAAGCCCAGGCGCCATCTTCAGAGAGGAGACGCACCGTCTCACCCGTTGATAGTGGCAGGTCTTCAGCGCGATCAGCTGGAGGAGTATAATTCGTGATAGCCATATAATGCTCCCCAGGCTAACATGAGAGAAACACGAAAAACGACTGTTAGTCTGAAATGTTTACTCTCTTCTCTTCCTCGTACCACGCCCCAATCCAAACCCCGGGGCCTACAAGCTTACAGACATGAAAACGTCAGGCTAAATGATCTTTCAAATAACCTACAAAGGCCAGCATCAAAAAGAACTGTATTAGGTTCTCAAATAGATCTCCTAAATTCCCGAGGACTTTCTGTTTCTGAGAAAGTCATTTATTACAAACGGTCGTCTGGTAACCAGGCCAAATTCACGAAGCCCTGCCAGGTTACAAAATGCAAGATGCATAGAGCGATTTTGCGGAAGCCTTATTGGTGTTACTAAACACCAGGAATTTTTTTGCATTATAAAACAACTCATTTCCCAAAGGAGAGAAATTTCTCGGGATGCATCTTAAGTTTGGAGAACGTCTTGAATCTGACTCCAGGCTGGTAGAGTCTATGAAAAGAAAGAGGGCGAAACGAAAAAACAACTGGTAGGCGGATGAAAAAGCCATGTCTGGGTCGTAACGCAATCGGGTGACAAGTGTTGCGTGATGACGTTCCTCTCCAAATACGTACAAACGTACGTCATGTAACGCACGCACAGTACTTACAGTGGCTGCATGAAGATCTGGCCTGAGAACATTCTCATACTTGTGGGAGCCAAAGCGGACGATGCCATCATCTGGGGCTTGTAGCAAGCGTACTCTGGGCGTACTGGCCATCAAGGGTTGTCTAAACTCGCGCACTGTCGCATATCCAGGGTCATCATGGCTGCCATCATAAGAGTTGTGTGATACCCACACAGAGGGAGGGGGAGGGAGGTCTGGGTAGCCATTCCGTTTCTGTCGCATAAAAATTTCAGAAACATATTAATTAACAATTTTTCCACGAGCGCGCGTTGGATATGTATGGGTTATTGACCAAGTGTGGGGTCAAGATGACTGGATATTGGCCAAGTTCTTTTTTTGCGTGTTTATGGACCGAGACGGGGTCGAAGTCCATAAACTCGCAAAAAAAGAACGAGGCCAATATCCAGCCATCTTGACCGAACAAGCTTGGTCAGTAAAGGATTTATTATACGGCTTTCGGGGAAATTTTTCTTGCGGAACACGGCGGGTTGTCCCGAGCGGGCAAGTTAGCTCCATCTTGCCCGCTTGGGTAGCCAATCACAGCGCAGGATTTGATTCATCTTGCCCGCTCACGGAGCTAGCCATATAATAAGAGATGACACATAGCCAACGAGGCGCGTTGAAAACTAAAATGAAATAAAGATGAAAACGCCAAAAACATTACGCGTACGTCCACCATATTTGTAGATGATTGTATAACTGCCCATATATCATGATGGCTAAGCCAATGAAAACTCTTGAATTGCATTATCCAATAATTCAGTTTTTGTTAAGAACTCATAAACCATGGAGCAATCTGATTATCGATAATACAACAGCACGCCACGCGCATGCACGTTACACCAGTAAGCACCTCTTACAAGTATTTTATATCAGGAATTTAAACAGCTACCATATTACGCTGTGTTGTCTGTGCGCAAATCTTCTATTTTCTCTCCCAGGGTCGAGGGTGTGAACGGTGGGGAATTCAACGACCGGGGAATGTAAATGGATGCGCTCGCTTTGAACTAAGAAAAAAGAAAACAGCTCTAGGGAGATTTTATTCTGTGCATCAAGAACAACAATGATGGCAGCTTATAAGCAATCAAGACATGAAAAAATTCGCAACAAATGTGACTCACTTTTTAATACATCTTCAGGTGACAAATTATCTTTTTACAGAAGCAAAGTATCTAAATAGCTTTTAAGGTACACTCGAAGAAATCACAATGAAAAACCGCCCTCCTCTCCGTTTTTAGGCTCGATTTCCGTCGGTCTCTCCAGTCCGGTCCACTAGCGCGGGCTCCTTTCCTGAACAGCGGCTGCTAATCGAGCCTATTCCGTTTTAAGTGGTATCTTTTAGGAGTCAAATAAAGCTCAAGATTGGTCGCCTTTACGGGTTTAATTCAAATTTCCGACGAGCATCCCGACCTTTTCATATGGGAGTTCCCCCCCTCAACCCGGGCTGATGGCTAACGCTCAAACGTCAGCTTTCTGAAATTCGTCAGGCCAGTAAATTTACTTTTTAATAATTAACTAAGTAAAGCATAATTGAACTGCTTAGGGAATAGTCGGTACCTACCGGTCTCCTTGCAGTTTCCGTGCCGTCTTCACTCACACTATGCGATCTGAGTCTAAAACACACAAAATAAAGAAACAAAACAATCTCATTTGGATTCATTAATAGATTGGTTTTCACTTGAGTGCTGAAAGTAAGTCGCAGCTGGTTTGGTTTTCGATTACTACACAGGGCGATTGAAAGGTTTTCAATTAAGTGTCGTAATCACTACTCTGGCCAAGCACAAAAGGACAGAGACGATCCAATGAACCAATTAAAAGTCGAAGCAAATACATGTAGCAGACGCAAAGCGCGGGAAAACGTGTGAGTGCGATTGGTTCTGGTTTTACTTCTGATTGGCTGAAAAAGTGGTGCGAGCCTTTTAAGCCAATCGCTTTGCGTGGCAATGTAAAACCAAGGGAAATGCGTCTCAAACGACAACCGCTCTTGAAACACTCGCGCCACTTTGTCATCTAATCAGAAGTGAAAGCAAAACCAATTGTTGCTCTATCAATGATACCAACTGAACCTGCGTTAAGTAAACTACAATACACGAGGACGAAAGTCGCTTAAGTAAAGAATGGATACGTCATTGTTAGTCACTTAAAGTCGTTGCTTTAGACCAGACAATCATTATACCAAACCTGATAGAATTCTTTTTTTTGTTTGTTTGTTTTCTAATACTGCGCTTGATTTGATTTCCCATTTACTTAGTCGGAAAATTGTGTTATAATTGCAGTGCAAGGCAAAACCAGCACGGAACAAGGCCAAACCCATTCATTCATTCATCAGTCCACGAGTGTTTTCCCGCGCTCGGATTTCAGTTCTGATTAGCTATTTGCGTTTGTTTTGATCGCTCAGATTTATGTACCGCGGTTTTAAAAGGTTAAAACCTTCTAACACCGCTCTAAATCAATACAAGTACTTTACCTCAAATGCTTTGGAATAACGGTTGCATACTGAGGAATACCGTCACTGAAAAGTAATAAATATAGCATTATTTTACTTTAAAAGAAGTTGGAAGAATGTTTGTTGTTCATGGTAATAATAACTGTGTTGTGCGTTACTATTGGACAAAATGACGCATTCTATGGCAACTTTGATGTAGATGCCATTTGTTTTGACCAATCAAAATCTCACAAATTTGGACAGAAGTGAAAAGACCACTAAACGAGTCATATCTGATTACAACTTTCCTAGTGTGACATTTTTTTAAGTTCTCCCAGCGTTCACGCAGCATGTTTGATCCGATGACAAGGACTGGAAACTCTTCAAGAGGGAAAAAAACATATACGTACTTGTTCCCTTGGCCAAGAGAACTGTAAACAGCCGAAAATATCAGATTTCCTGGTTCGTGCTAAAAAGGCATCGAAGGTCCGCTTACGTTGCACACAATTACAGCTACATAACTCTCCGTGCAAGTTTGCAAGTCTATGCGATGCTAGAAAAGTCAGTTGGCGTCAGAAATACATAAAAAATATTATGAAAACTATGAGATACGTTTATACCTGGCATTTTCAAAGCTGACTTGAGGATTTCTGTTTCCTGCTTGAGGGTTTGGGAGTATCTCCACTGTGGCGTATTCTAAAGCATCTTCACAGGAAAAAAAAAAACAACAACAAAGCAATTTTCCTTTACGCAAAGAGATCTTTAATCTTGCTTTGCAGCAAACCTAAGCTTTCATTATTTTATTGTAAACAGACAAGGCAACTTAATTCGATTGAAGGGCAAAAAAAAGTTTAAGAAATTGGGAGTTAGAGGTATCATGGTTGAAATTACAGTGAAACTATTCCAAGGGAAGCGACTTTTGGTTTCAGCTCTCGAAAGGTTCGAGTAAGTGGGATTCAACTGTGCTTTCAACTATACCTCATACAATATCGGTACACTTAAAAACTGATAGGTAGAGCAGGAAGACAAAGAACTAGTTCGGAAATTTGTCTCTGGAACTGTACTTAAGCATCATCACCCTATCTCGAAAGTATGACTTGGAGGAGAAGGTAGAGGGAGGGGGGAGGGGGGGAGGGTGCAGGGTACTCCACTGGCAACCGAGAAATATGTGAACCGTTCGAGTTCTAGGACTTCATGGTAAAATCTGATGTCAGTTTACTCTGGTAATATCATCAACGAGTAAGCTGATTGTTACAAATGAATACCAGCAACATCAAAAAGAATTATCTAGTCGTAATCAGTATAAGAGGAGTATGGAACTCACGAGGCGTGGATTGGGAGCGTAAAATTCGTGCCCTTGCGGAGTCATTGTCGTTGGTTTCACTTTTCTTTGTTTTACAGGAATCTCTGAAAAATGAAATTTGTCGCACGATTACTACTTACTGTCTTGAGTATATATTGTTGTGGAAGAACGTATGTTTCGAAAGTTAAGAATTACCTGTGTTCTCGGAAAGGAGATGGAGGTGGAAGGNTTACTGCGGTAAAGTTGCCGAAAGTGTTGGCACATTTGCCAAATATCTTCCGTACTTCGATTCCCCTCAATTCCCGGCAACGATGAGCTCTCAAGCGTACTGCACGAGTAGTCCTTATATAAGAAGGGTTCAACATTGAATGGGGAAGGAAGAGGTGGAAGGGGGGGGGGGGGGTAAGGGTACAAACCGATGCATATCTGCTTAGCATACCTTTTAGGAACTGAAAGTCATTTTAAATTTTCTAAGTTTCGTCATATTGGGGATCTCTCTGCATTCAAAGAATAAACCATAAAACTAGTATGTCTATTGCTCAGTTTTATATGGAGTTGTCGCCGGGCCCTGTATCACTATGCCATATAAGGATTTCTTCAGTCAAATATTTCACACGAGATTTTTGCTGCATGTCTCATTTTGGAAGCTCTTTTCAAAATTCGAAGCATTCTGAGATAAAACACGCTGAACACAGCTTGATACTTCGTTTATAAAGTGCTAAGCAATAATGTAGTACCTTCTTGGTGGAGGAGACCTAATACTTGCGTATATGCCGCTGATACTGGAATATGTAGAAACCTGGAAGTTAAAACCAAGACAGTGGAATTAATTCTTTGATATCAAGCACGGAGAGGGTAAATACTGATCATCGGTTTATACCAGCGTCTTCCTCCCGGACTTCGCTGATCGGTCTTTCAGTTTTAAATAAAGCTTTTTATTATTATTATTATTATCATTATTATTATCATTATCATTATCATTATCATTATCATTATCATTATTATTATTATTATTATTAAATATCAACACGAGAAGGCACATGTTGCAAGAGTAGTGAGCTTCACTGACCCGTTTTCTTTGTTCGTCATTCACGCTCGGCTTTGGCGCCAGATTGGATCCTGGTGTAAGGCCAACCTCACCCTTAATTCTGAAACAAACAAAAAATAATAATAAATAAAAAATAAATCTAAACGCACTTGTTTCTTTTAGTTTTCAAAGCCTGCAATTTACTAGCTTTTAATTCAACGCCAGTATTAATTCTATGTAAGCTAAATTTGTGATTCGTTGTTCTCTGCGTTCCAATCGCAGACTTGTACCCAACACCCCTGTGTTTTTGGAGTGGAATGTTACTTAATAACAGTAAGTGAGTGCTATTCACTGCTTCCAAACCACCTCACGACAATACAGTAGTACGTGACTGAGACATCCTAGCCCATGGACTGAAACAGAATTAAGTTTTGTGCGTTGCATTGAAAGCTGAAGAATATCCATGAGAATCATGCGTTAACGCCGTGCACACCTTATCTTCCACCAGCCGAAGTTACTGGTGGCCAAAACTTCAACCTCCTCGCCAGCTCTGTATGTAAGTTCGTCATCACTCTTAGCCGTGTAGGAATCAAGAGCTACCCAAAAGCCTAAAATACAAGTTAGACAAGCAAACGTACGTTAAGTAAGCAATTACAGGCATGAAGCAATTCGATGATTTTGATTTCTGGAATTTAAGCACTGCACTTTACATTTTATACCCATGGTGGATAGGGCGCAGAAGCCTAAATAACATTGGTAGCAATGGCTAGTTTTTTTTTTTTTTCTGTTTTCTTCCTCTTCTGATCGTTGGCCAAGATCTACTGGTTCAAGGAATGTTGCCGGGGCAAAGCCATGCTCACCTCTGGAGTTTGCGACAAGCCACCAACCAAATACAAGTTAGACAAGCAAACGTACGTTAAGTAAGCAATTAAAGGCATGAAGCAATCTGATGATTTTGATTTCTGGAATGTAAGCACTGCACTTTACATTTTATATCCACAGTGGATTGGGCGCAGAAGCCTAAATAACATTGGTGGCAATGGCTAGTTTTTTTTTTGTTTTTTTTTTTTCAATGGTTAGTGCATTGCCAACCGAATTGGGTCATTCAAAGTCGAGCACTGGATGCAGAGGCCAATTAATTGTCTCCTTTCACAGTGCCTCTCTCCACCCAGGCGTATAAATGGATACAGGTCAACTGTTGGGGAAACCTGTTGGGAAGTATCCTACATTGGATATCTCATTCAGAGGGAGAGGAAAACCCTTAATCATCTCATGACACAAGGTCTCTAGTCACTGTGAGAACCAACACTGACAACGCTAGTTTCTTTTAGATCTTTCCTTTGGCACCCGGCCTTAACTAGGTGGGCTGCGCGGCAGGTGTTAGAAGGGAGGGAATGAGGGAAACAAGCAGCCCGAGGGAGAGGGAAAAACGAGAAGCCCAATTGAGAGTAGAAAACGAGAAAGTTCGAGAGAAAGGGGGAAATGAGAAGCCCCAGGGAGTAGGGGATACGAGGAAGCGAAAGGGAGAGGGGGAAATGAGAAGCCCGAGGGAGAGGGTAAAATGAAAAGCGCGCGAGAGAGGGGAAATTGAGAAAGTACGCGAAAGAGGGCAAAATAAAAAGCGCGAGTAGAGGGGGAAACGAAACGAGTGGAGCGCGAAGCGCGACGCATGCTATAACACGAGGAGAGGAACGATGATCAATTGAATTGGTGTAGAAAATCAGGTTTAACTAAGGGACTTACGATCATCACCTTCGACTTCTCTCCACTCTTCCTCTTCTGATCGTTGGCCAAGATCTACTGGTTCAAGGAATGTTGCCGGGGCAAAGCCGTGCTCACCTCTTGAGTTTGCGACAAGCCACCAACCTGAAATCAAGGTATGAAATAAACACATTTGATCTCTGGCACCAAAATATGACAATTTCATGACAAGACATTCAGGATATTCTGTGTAAATTTACAAGCAAAAAATGCAACCCACCTCTCCCCATTGATTTTTTTCCTCCTTCCCCCCACCCCTTCACCAATAAACAATTTACTAGGTGTGAAACAACAAGATCTAGCTGATCTAGAGAGAGTACGCAGATATCCTACAAACCTGTATTGTTTTTTTCAATGACAGTCACAACCTCATTTTCTCTCAAGCTCATCTCTCCTTTTCCACCAGCTGCAAACTCAGCAACCGAATGGTACCTCTCTACAAACTCTTCATCATTTCGTCCAGTGGGAGATGTGAGTAATTTGCTAGTTTGACAGGACCAGGGGGAATACGTTATTTATGATGCAATATCAATTCAATGAATTTCGTGATATAACAATTAATGCACGCAAAAGAAGAACGATGTTTTTGACCGTCCAACAGTCATCTACAAGTTCGGTCCAAGAATAAGAATTGACATGTAAAAATACCGTAAAGTGCTGCTCATAAGCTCCCCCCACCCCTCCCCCCCCCCCCTTTATAAGCCCACCCGGTTATTGCCCTATCTACCTGTAAACCCCAAATTATAAGTCCCGCCCCCCACCCTGGATATCAATCCCCCTCTAGCTTTCCTTGTTTTGAATTTGTTCTATTATGATGTCTTAAAGCTTAATTACTAGTAAATGAAAAATCTGTTTCAATCAACATGTGTAGCTACAACTCGTTTCAAAACGGGTTTTTTAAATTCCGGTTATAAGTCCCTCGAAAATAAACACCCCATTCGTTTATTAACCCATCTAAAAGCCCTTACGAAGTTGTATAAGCCCAGTGCTTATATATAAGCGGCAGTTTACGGTATACATCAATCTAGCTTCATAGATCCGCAATATGTGCACAGACAATGTAGATAAAATCATAGGCCTGCAATGCGTACAGAAAAACAAGAAATAGACTGTTATATTAAGCTCACCCTTTTTCGTTATCAGGTCTAACAAATGCATCTGTTCCCCACTGGCTGAAGAACTGCAGAACAATGTCTGACTGAGAGACAACTGGAGGTAGCTGGATCACTCTCTAGAAAATTTGATGAATGCAATTTCTTCTTACATCCTACGACATACATCTAAAACATCTTAATCAACTTGCAATTTCGTTTGAGCATCTAACAGTTTGAGAATAAGGGAAATATTTAAATTGACTATTTTTTAGAACTGCTGTAAACAATACATGCAAATTAGAGCAACAACAACAACAACAAAATAAGAATTTGGACTTAAGGACTTTAGGGCCCCATAACTGAGACTGAACGTCTGAGCTGCTAATTGTTCCATCTTAAACCTAATATCTGATTTGTTTCAAGAACAAAGATCACAATTTCTTTTTCCAGTGCAACAACTAGAGGGGCCACATATTGAACAACATTGACCTGAATCACAGGGAAGAATGAGAGCAATGCAATCCAACAGTTCTGATTTGTTAGCCAATCAAATGTTGAGTCTAATACCTGGCAGAAGTCTTCAATGTGTTTACATTGCTTCTTTGCCAGTGCTCCAAACAGCATTCCACCGGCATAAGCCAAGCGAGCAACTGTTTATCAAAAACAACATAGCACAGGGTTACTTAACAGAAAGCAGTCAAGTACAATGTACAAATATTTTCACAAGACCTGGTCTATTGGCAACAAATTTTAATATTTATGTCTTCTGATCAAATATCTTGTGCAAGCTTATTATTCAAAAAGTCCTTGGCAGCCACTTCAGTTTTATTTTTTTAAAAGAACTTTTAAATAGGACTAATTTAATTCTGACCACCCTGACTCACGCCATCATCTCTTTGCAAGACTGCCATTGCCATCACAATAGTTAAAAGTCTAATAATGCAATTACTTCTTTTTGGTTTCTGGGGGAATTTTCCAAGTGAAAGCTGAATTTGGAAACATCAAAGTTCCATGGTATGAAACATCAATGAATCAAGTGCCAAGATTCATATATTGTCTGCCAGTTTCACATTCCATCATGCCTAAGGTCTGAAAAGGATTCTTTGCTTCCATATATGTACATTATTTTCAAAAAATAAAACTTAACATTCTGAAACCATTTAAGGCAATCTCATGTTTTTATATTTTTTACTTATTTGACATAGATAACTTATCTTTGAATTCTAATTATTGATTCTCTTACCAGGTAATTCAGGAATGGAAATACTTTGCTTTTCCTGAAAAAGTTGTCGCAAGCCAGCCTGTTGATAATTGAATCACATTAAATTAGACGAAGAAAATTAAAATTAAAAAACCTTGCACTACATTGAAGTATTGTCGAAATCTACCCCAGCTGTGCACATGTACTCTATGAATGGATGGGAGCATAAAGAGTCGCAAGATTTGATCATGCAGTCTGGGTTCAAAATCGTTGACAAAGACAGTTTACACTCGAGTTGCCGGCATACTGACTGACTGATGGGGGAGACTAGCGTCTTATCCAGAGGAGGAGACAGGGCCCAGCAGTTAAGTGGGAGGGAAGTGGAAATTCTGCAGGAGTTAGGAGAAGAGTGCGCAAGAAATGGATTTTCTTTTACGGTGGGAACTATCTCATACCCAGGTCTCACTCTGTTTGACACTTGGCCATGGAAGATCTGGATTTCGAGATTAGGTGGAAACCTGGAGAAATTGTGGAAAAATATTGTAACATGCAATATATTTTGCAAATAATTTTCAAAATATATAATTGCATGATGCTATTTAAACAATAGAATGTTTCTGTCGAGGAACTATTGGCTGATAGTTGCCCCGTGGAAATTTAATGTTCTTAAAACAAATATTTGCCCAAGAAGCGAAGCTTCGAGGGCAAATATGCTAGTTTTAAGAACATCAAATTTCCAAGGGGCAACTATCAGACCGATAATTCCGAGACATATACACTCTATTGTCTTTACTGTTCACCACTAAATTTTCTTCCGTGTGCCAGTTCAAAAATCATATTGAATTATTTTCAACTTTTTTAGANGCCAAACGTTAAATTTGAAAAAGAAAACAAAAAAACCCCTCTCATTATGAATTCAATTGTTTATTTTCTGTAAGCCCGCTTGTTGACATAAATATTTTCACGGACGAGTACTATCCATCCAGGTATTTTCCTCGGACGGGCACTATGGGCTGATAGTGTCTCTCCGCGGATGAACACTATTGCGTCACGTGATCAGTTTAAACCAATAAGAATCGGAGAAAATTTAGTGGTGAACTATAATTATTTATAAAAAAACATTGGAAAAAGTGAAGCCACTAAGAAAGGAACTTGGAGTAAAAGGTAACAAGGTGAAAAATAATTGCTTTCGGAAACCAATTAAATTGCGAGTCATATTTCTTACTTTAAATATATTTGTCAGATGCCAATCAGCCTCTGCCTGGCCTGGGCTCTAATTCACAAATCAGTAAATTTCACATCGTGATATTTATACTGTAATAAGTTCGAATTGCAGATACCTGACTTTCAATCCCAATTATTAATTTTAATAACCTAAAGTGAATACGATAATTATAAATTATGCTAATTATGAGAACAAACGTGTAAGCAATTAATGTAAAGGGCTAATTTATCCGTGCGTGTCGATCATGGATGGAAAAATATCAAAAAACACCTTCAAGCTTTAAAGCTTATATTTACCGATGACTCAGTATTTTTGCATTATGTAATTCAATTCCATATAATTAAGTTATAATTAATATCTCCGTCGTCATAATCCGTTAAGCGGAAGTTTCTCGTGTCTTCCGGCATTCTGAATTAAACTAGCTTCGCAAATGTGGGATGAAATTTTGTTACTCCATCTAAGATTAACTTATATTGAAACACTAATTTCAACACTGGGTTTCAAGGAACTGCTACGAGCTTTACACTAACGAGAGAGAATATCGCAAGCGATAATCTTTTAAACAATTAATACAGGCTTTATCGAAAGTAAATAATTATACTGTACGAGTTAGAACGTGGGCTAGTTCGAAAGTATTGCTTACATCAAAAGCTTATGTTTCGCATCAGTTATTTTGCAAGCACGTCCAACTTTGAGAATAGGGTATAAATGGCTGATATTTTCCCCCGCTGAGCAAAGAATGGTCTTAACTGCGAGTCGTTAATTGTTGTCATTTGGAAAACAAATAGAGACTACGACAAACTAAGCGAAACCAACTACTTGACATAAGTTCATGAACTGAAGTTAACCTCCAGCTTACCTGTAGATCGAAAAACATACTGTATCGTCGAAATATGCAATATTGGTTTTCGTCCAGCCATTTTACTTTCAACTTGTATTCCTGAAGAGGAACGCAAAGCAATTGTGTAAACATGTAGAGAATTTCTCTTCCACGAATTAATTTCAAATCACTGAGGAGCACAGACTAAACATGACAGTGAAACGCCAGGAAACCAGGCGAAAATCACAGGTTGATTCATACGCACATAATTTTTGCTGTTGGAATGTTCTTTGCTCCTACGTTTCTCAACATCAATCACTTTCACGTCCGCGACGACTCCTCTCTCGTTAGTAGGCGAATGCCTCATAGCGCCAAACGTGGGTTTGTAGTTGCTTCTCTTTTCGTCGACGAGAGCTTGTTTAAAGTTGTTGATGTTCCACGAGTCTCCCATCGATCAGCCCCCATTCATTCAGTTATTTCGCTAACACAAAACACGCACAGTTGTGTGACTCCGGTCTGGGGGAGGGCGGAAGTCGGACAAAACGGGTTCAATATTGCGTGAAATAACTCGAAAACTTGGCCAAGGATAATCCTCGCAAATTAAAAAATATATATATAAATTTAACACACCTGAAGGTCGTTAATGAACCTGACAGCGGTTCTCTTCAAAAGCTGACACTTTCTGATGACCGACGATGTAGAAACTCCAAGTTTAAGAGTTTCGTGATGAACGCTACGTTTTCGTGACGTGACGTCACCAGGCGTTAAAAATTTCTCTTGAATGTGAAAATATTAACGTCACTAGAACAACACGATTTGGAAACCACGGCAATATTAGACTCTTGATGCAAATTGTGAATTCTTCAGACCAATTAAGATTTTTTCTGTGCTACCGATCTCCTTTTACGGCTATAAGAACAGACATACTCCTTAAAAAATTGCCACAAAGATGGGCAAAGTTAACTTTGTTTATTTTCTCGTCCGTGACAAAGTCAATAATAGAAAAATTTGAACTGTGCAGTGAGTATGACTACGGTTTGGGAGGTATTTTAAGCTAGGATGAAAGCGACTAGTGAGCCGAAGAATTTTCCAGTCTGGGAATTGAGATTTCTCTGGTTTTTGTCCGTTCTTCGGCCGTTCAATGAAATGCTTCCTTTCCTATCGCCAGCCCAACTCACCATTTTTTTTTTTCCGGGAAAAAAAAATTGGAATAATTGTATTTCTCTTTTCTCGTGTTTCCAAAACTTCTGTTATGCTTATGCTTGTGTCACAAGAGGACCGGGTTTTAGTTTTAATTCCTTTTAATACAACGGACTGTAGCATCTCAACAAAATCGCCCACGGAACTTGAAACATAAGCGGCAGGCAAAGGAACTCTTTTATCGCGATAACCGTCGAAAGTAACAACCTCGTTACTCTCGAAAGGTCTGGTAAGCTGGGCAGCTCCTAGCAAGCTTCCACCTGGGAGAGGAAAAACTAAAAACTCCCTAAATCGATCATGATAGCTCCAGTTGCTCGAGATAAGGCTTACAATACCGAACAAGAGCCGTAAAATGAGTCTTCTCTGCAAAAGATGAGAAAACTGAAAATCCTCCTTTTCGCCGCAAAACTCTGAGAAATGTCTTACCAACCCAGCAATGGGACAGAACATTTCCTTTTTCTCCTTTTCACAAATCCCTCCAGAGTTCGGCAGAATACACGTGATGCTATCACTTCTTCCTACTTAGGAAGCGCGCAAATTGGTTTATTCTGAAAAATAAAGTTGGTTTGCTTGCATGGACCACGTCAAGAGAGAAAAATGCAGGACCACCAGTTCATTTCCACTTGTTAGCTTTCCGAACTAATGTCATTTGCGGTGCCTAGGACCACAAACCTAGCGCAAAAATAATCCGTCCCAGAGAAAATACTCTCAGTCAGTGTGGGTGATATTAGCCTATTTCATAGCTGAAATAGCACGATGTGCAACCGCGCGCCTGTGGTCATATTGCAGTTCTCGCAAGGTCTCGCATGAATGGCTTGAAACCCTTTGAGAGGACAATAGAATAAACAACAGAAACAATGCCCCCTAACCCCAAAACAGTAACAGCTGCTGAAATGACGACAAATAGATTTACAAGCTTACGAGAGCTGCCGCACTACCGGGGTCATGTTCTAATCTCAATATTTAAGTAAACAAAATTCAATCGAACAATCGAACTTCTCCTCATCCGAAACCTTTCCAACATAGAAAGTGTCCGCCTGGCCGAGACTATGTGGAAGTGAAGGTGTCTGTTGGCAGAGATTTTAAGTGTGATGGATCGATCAAAATCGAAAGTTGCTATACGCAAAGCTCTCTATGGTTTCCTCCCATTCCTAAGTAATATAAATCGCCGGAACAGACTCGAGCGAAAACAAAACAACACAGACCACACGAATAAATGTTAAACAATTTAATACAACAGTAACGTCACCACCCTTCCTTTAAAGTTTCTACAAAAATAGAAATATAAGAGTGATATTATCTTGTCTGAAAAAGAAATCTAATTTTTTGGATATGTACTTGTCACTTTAATTCTTAAATCAGGCAAAATCACGGTGTTCTAAATTCCATAAAAGCTTTGAGAGTTTCTTATCTCTAAAGATTCAAAATAAATTCAATAAACATCATGCAACGCAAAAAACGAAGTTCACTCGTTTCCAACTATAAACTTGTTCTTCTTATGGACGCTGCCGGAGAATGTTTCGATGAAAAAGAATGCTATCGAAACAAAATGAAACGTCGGCGTGTTTTTCTGAAAAGACCTTCTAAAGGAAAAATAGTTTGTCCGCCAGCTCCCCGCTGGGAGCTTGGTGCAGCGACTGTCCAACAAGGAACGCCAACTTGTGGGCATACTGGCATGGAGCTGGTACACGAACGGTGCCCTGAAAGAGAAAAAAACAAATCAACCGTTACAATAATTCACCATCTTTTTACATTTGATACAAGTAACGACGCAACGATGTGAAAATGGCAGATACTTGTTAAGTTGTTTGCATGATGATTGCAAGAACAGTTTCCCTTATAGGGTTCTTTAAGATATTTTGTCGACCAAATTCAGCATTGTTCGTCACATTCGAAACCACTGTGGACCAAGACTGTACGCGAAATCATGTAACAAGAATTTGTTGCAGCTCGCACAAAGCTTGAAGATTCTTTTACATGTAAAGCCATTTACACTCTCTACTTTTTCAGGCCTGTTAATCTGTTATCAGCCAAACATTTCTACGCCCTTTTAGTGCCAACAATTTTTTATACAATATAGACAACAGTGTTAGAAAGTGTTACGCTCGCAGAACAATTACGATGAGTACGTTTAGAAACACAAGAAAACGTAGTTAACCGCAATGAGAGCAGCCGCAAAGGGGTGTAATCAGTCAACTAACTAGTATTTCAACTGTATATTTTAACACCCGGCATAGTCAATCGAACGTTCGGAAATCGAACTCAATCGAACCAAATTCAATGGATTGCGTCCAATTGTTCGGTGAATAAATTTGCTTGTCCAAAGATTATCCTATGTAGTCTCGAAAACACGAAAAACACTTGTCACAGTGAAGTAACTCGAGCCTCGAAAAACTTGTTATTGATTTTCAACACCAGTTTTACAAAAATCAAGAGTTCAGATATCAAAAGTTCGATTTAGTTCGATTGCCTAATTATTTTTGTGTGAGTTCGATTTGGTTCGATTGAGTTCGATTGAAATACAGTTCTAACCGGCCAGTTGTAGTACAAGTGAGTCAGCTTGTATGTCAAGCGCTGGAAGTGGTCTGGTGTCAACCCGGAGCTGTCCTCAATCACGTTGTAATGGGTTGGGGACACTGTTCCTTGACGAACGGACTGGCTGACAAGAAAGAAGTCATACCTAGAAAAAAAAACAAACCAAGTATGTGCTGATTTGTTCAAACGAGTTGGTTCACAGGCGCCACGAAATCAAAACAGTGTCAAAATCTCTCTCTCTGTACAAGCGGTGGACCAGTTCTCCCTAGCAAGAAATCACAAACTTACACAATTACACACTACATAATAATATAAACAATTTCATTACCATTCTTTGCGCGTGATATCAGAATCAACGACAGTGCCAGGAGGTGGGTTTGTCAGATTAACAGCATCTCCAGATCTGTGGAAAATCCTGGCACTGATCCTCTTCTTCACAATGACGACCGAAAACTTGGGTCTAAAAATAAGAAATACGAAGTGACGCCCATACAAATTACAATTTTAGCAAAATAACATCGGAAAACTCGAGTCTAAATAAGCAAATAAAAAGTAACACTAGTAGAACGTCAGCAAAATAGTATCAGAAAACTTGGGTCTAAATAAGCAAACAGAAATTAACACCCCTAAAAGTTAAGCAATTGCGAACGCGAGAGTTCAGACGTAACTTCTTCAAGTTATATTGCTTTCAGTTGTAGTTTTGTTTTTTAAATAATTGTGATTTTTCTTTCCAGCAAATGTGGTACCTAATGGATGATCTAGTCTCCAACGCATGTCATCAATAGCCACTTTGCCACACAACAAAAATCCATACTACAAACGAAGTGTTGCCCATGTCAGGGCCCAAAGAAGTTTTTAAAAATACAATTTTCTAACAAAGATTGCCACCACAAACTCACTGGTGTTCTACACTACAGAAATCATTACAAATTATCATTCTAGCCATAATTACTACGATTCTCAGTTGAGTAGAGCACCACGAAAGTTTGGTCATCAGGTTTTAAATGTGAAAATCGTGTTGTTGTCACCAACAACTGGCTCCGTTTCCAGTGGCAACTTGTCGACCTTTGACGTCACTGACAGCAAGGCGCACGAAATTGTAGGCAACGCGACAGGCGACGCACGGCTGTTGATATTGTTACCAATGCAAACGAAGTAAGTGGCCCGTGACCACACCACATTTATGAGGCCAAAACTATGTCAACAAACTTCTGCCGTGCCTTATTCAACTGATAATCGTAGTAAAAGAGATGTCAGTAGTCCTTGTTCTTTAATGTTAATCAATGAGATCAGGGAGCAATAAAATGGAATTTCAAAGTGTGTCAAAACCCCGTGGCAAACATATAAAGCACCTCCGTCAATGCACCAACAGGTCCAGACAACTTACTTGTAGCCACCCGAAATGTCTTGGAAGGATGCCTTCAGCTGTGGGACTTCATGTTCCACAACAAGCCGCAGCTGTCCATCACCCACGCCATCACGGTAAATGATTATTCGCTCGGGCAAATCACCGTTTACCTCATGGTATCTCCTAAGAGCGGCTGTTGAAGAATCCAGAGAATTCAGGTGTTAACTCTTATATGTACAAGAGGGTTCAGTGACAAAAGTGCCCCTTTACAAAAATTATTGTATTAAAGGACCCTTGTCAGCCTCCGTCATTGATGCCATCAAAATTATTGATATTGTATGGTGGAGCGAAATCTTATTGCTCAGATTACTACAAGCTGTGTTCCTGAAGGTAAGTAATTTTCTTAAGTAGTTTCACAGTGATTTCCTTCGTTTCAACATGTTCCGAATAAAATATAAAAGCCAAACGCTCGCATGCAAACAAAAACAAAGGTGTGGCTGACTAGGACCCTTTAAGAACCACGTCTATAAATAAGATTATTGAAAATAGCATGAGGTGTAAGTTTTAACATGTTAAGTGCAGCCCTTGGTACTTTCTGTAATTGTACTGTAGTATAAGTATCAGAATTCTGATTGGCTGTGTTTTTTTTAATAGGATGGAATACGCTAAAAAAAAATATTGCTGCCAAGTTAGGATTTCATAAGAAAGAAACTCGGCAGGCACCAACAGGTTGGTGCCTGCCAATCACGATAACATACACTATATGTATATTTCATATATTCATTTGAATTCTTCACCATTTACGGGTATATTACGAACTCGCAATGTGGCTAGCTCTCAGTTGGCTTGATAGCTCAGTTGGTAGAGCACTGCACTGGTATCACAGAGGTCATGGTTTCGTATCCCATCCAGGCCTTCTTTTTAGGCTTCAATTTCACAACTGCTTAAGTTGTGTGTATAACTTCGGTGATCAATCATGTCTTGATAATTATACACTACCTGTCATGTTCGTCTTCAATTGATCAATGAGCTCCATACCAGTGTGTTGGAAGCTTACCTTGGAATAATACCTAAAACACAACAAACAGGACCGCCAACCAGTTAGCTCAATGGTAGAGCAGCGGACTAGCGTGTGAGAGGTGGCGGGTTCAAACCCCAGCCGGACCAACACTCTGGGTCTTTAAATAATTGAGGACAAAGTGCTGTCTTTGTAATGACATCTGCAAATGGTTAGGCTTTCTAGTCTTCTCAGATAAGGACAATAAACCGTGTACCCCGTCTCACAACTCTTCAAAATTAATTCTGTGGGACGTAAAAGAACCCACACACTGATCGAAAAGAGTAGGGGACGTAGTTCTCGGTGTGGTGGTCTATCTCTCATATGATGGTTAAATGCTCGGAGATATTAGCTGCATAAGCTACTCTGAAATCCGAGGGTAAATTAAGTGAAGTGAAGTAATGCAATGCAATGTAATGTAAAAAGGACACAACATCAAAAACAGGATATTATATGAATTGTTGGCCCAGACACAAAGTATAAGCTCTCGCACCGCTACAATTTTTAATATCACTAATTCACTCACTTTCAACCTCACTTAAATCAGCTTATCGTCTGCCATGTTGTTGTTAATTATTATAATACATTTCCACCATTTGCTTCCATGAAAGCATCTTTGGTTTAAAAAACTGCTTGGGCTGGTAAGTGACTTCCTTGAGGTTAACATGTACCTTCCAGAGTGCCTTCAGTCCAATAATGTAAACCTTTCCATAGCATCAGATACCCCTAAACCCTACATCAAATTTAGGCTAAAAGATCTGGCTATTCAAAAAGTTTTATATTTTCTTGAAGAGTAATCAAATTTTCTGAAAAGGCTAAACTGGAAGCAACAATATACTTGCAGCATTTTGCATTTGCTGGCCACACATTTTTTAACGTTGTATGACTTGCACTCTAGGGCCGGGTTGTTCAAAAGTTGGTTAACGCCAACCCAGGATTAAAAGTTAACCAAAGTATTAATTTTTCTGGTATAAAAATGTTTTTTACTGCCCACGTTTTGAGTAGTTTGAGCTCAGTCAAGCTCAAAATTGAAGGACAGCCGACAGAAAACCTCACCGAAAAGTTACAAAACTGAAATCAAAAATCTTTTTAATCCTGGGTTAGCTTAATCAAGCTTTGAACAACTGGGCCCAGGATTGGCCACAACTTGGCAATTACTAAGAGCAGAATAATGGACAGGTCAACACAAAATTTTACACAGGTTTAGAATAAGTCTCCCTGTTAAGATAAGTTTATACATACTTAGTCAAGGTTTTGTTCATACTGGCAACAAATCCACCAACAGAACGGCCTTTCGTTGATGAATCATGATAACAATCAATTCCTATCACCATAGTCCTTTGCAGCTGCAAAGAAATAAGACACATTAAGTAACGGCTAAAGTTCTCCAACATCTTCCCTCTCTAAGTCACCATTCCTTATAACCCTTCCTCCCTTACGACCATCCTGTCCCTCCTATCCACAGCACAACAATTTGTTTTTGATCTAGGTGCCTTAAAAATATGTTTGCAAGTAATCATTACAGGCTGAATGAAAATCACAATCAGAGCATCTGTCCTCTTAATGCGTGCACCTATACAACTACCAATTTCAAAAGAGAATTTATTCTGTGCAGTTTTTCTTTAGTGATAATCTTAATACTATGTAGAGAAATAACTGGCAACCATTATTCGAAGTTCACTTCAGTTAGTATCCTATGTTCTCGATTTGAGGCCATAGTTGATTTGGCCTTTGGCCTCACCAACTATCATCTCATAGAAATCTCGAGCTCATAATCGAATTGATAAATAGATCTGATAGAATCGCTCATGCAGAAAATATGTAAACTAAACAGATGATCACTACTCACAGGAATTTCCACTGCCCAAGCTTCACCCCCAAGTTTAACATTGAGTTGGATGCCAATCTTGGTACAAACACTCATCAACATCTGCTTCTTTGAGATGGTACGACCTACAATCACCTGAGATGGCACTGGAACAACAACAACCACCACCACCACCTTTAAAAGTACTCATCAATACAATTTTTAGACAGAAAAATAATTCATGACCCTAGGGGCCCGAGATGCAGGCAGCCAATTAAGGTATTAAACAGATAGATAAACCAAAACAAAGGTCAGTTAAGTAAATTTACCTGCAGTGTAACTTAGGGCTGACAATACAAAACACATACACAACACACGCGCACACACACGAACAAAGAACGAACAGAACTAAACTGGAACCACATGGGAATCCACGCATAGTCTGTATACGACAATGCAGATCTGGACTACTCAGTCAAAATGCACCAAAATTAATGACTCGCTGTACCTAACTTAAAGTTTGTCATGATTCTTTCTGGATTTCAATTATTAATTTTGCAACAATTTTGTTTTCTGACATATGGGGTAATTCTTGTTCAAGCATATAATATTACATCTATCGTTGACTATAAGAGAATGGCTGACTGGCTATACTTTAAGTCTTGCATAAGGAGATCACTAATTGACTGCTTCTTGAATCTGAACCAACATACAAAAGTACCAATGAAAATTCTTGAATGCTTCAAGAATGTGTTGACTACACTACTACTTCAGCAGTAACAACAAAACAAATTTATTGAAACGTTTACCATATCCAGTTGGCATAACCGCTAAAACATCCCTTTCTCCCGAAAGACAATTGACAGCTTTTTCCGGTTCATGTTTTAGATTGAGCAGACTTTTTGCTTCCATGGAAAGGTTTTCAAAAGCTTCCAGGATAAATCCCACATTTGGATTCTTGGATGCCATTCCGTGTTTGCCTTCGATAATCGTCGCTGGTTTTGGTCATATTAATAGGATCTGTCGTTTTTAACCAATCAGAATGCCGAATTCGTAGGTGAACGCGTTGTATTCAGAAAACAATACCTTCAGTGCAGGCTCTCTTTACTTATGCAAGGCTCTTGCTTGCTGACTCATCTTTTGCGACTTAGCTCATCGACTTTGCTCCTGCCACAACGTACTAAAGGCTGCTTGCAGGCTACTCTGACTCATAATGAAATATTCTCATTTGTTATATTTTATACCTGGCTTCTCCAAGCAACACAACTTCTTGATGGCATCATAACGGTCTTTGCGGTTGGTTGTTAAAATTGTGACTACCATTTGCAACGCAGGACTGACATTATTTTTAATAGCACTTAAGTAGGTTTCTGTGCGGTCATTCTGAATTGGGCAACTGTAAAGGACAAGAATAAACAATAACAAATGATCATAGCTGAAGAATATTTAACAGTGAATAGTTACACTACAACATTGTGCTCTCTATGAATATAACTCAATAATCTAAATCAGATTTTCAAGTGACTTTTTGAAGATGACGGATTTATAAAACTACAGCATTGGGAATCTCAGACTCGAAAACAACTATTTTTTCCAAGAGTGGTCTACAGCAAATGCTGAGAGGAATTTTCAGATTCTGAGATTTGGAACAGTAGACAATGTTCCTACTTTTATCTGCAAAGAGGAAAATTTTAGGGAATTACAAAGACATAAAATACTTACTCGATATGGTTGGCCACACTGATTCCCATAGGACCGCAAACCTTCCTCAAAGTCTGTGAAAAATCCTTTGCATTTCCAGTGTCCCTTTGAGTGTAGACGAGAATCCAATTCTCCAAGTTCACAGTACTGTGAAGGGGATTGCCTCTCATCTCCTTGGACCAATCAGCACTCTTAGGGTCATATGAATACTGAAAAATAAACAAGATCAGGGTTGAGATTACACCAACAGGGCAAGTGATTTTCTTAGTAACCCATGCACTTACATTTTTCTGATCTGACAATAGTAATGCTGAGAAGGGAGCATTCACTTTCAACCATAAACCAAACTGATCCCACTTGGATGATCACAACAGATGTAATATATCAAACAAGAGAATGTTTCATCAAGATATCCATATCAAAGTGGCTGTGAGCCACTGCACTTGGAAAATAAATTATCAAAGGGTGTTAAGAAGCATTGCTCATTAAGAAACTACTTGTGATGTGAGGGCAGTCTTGCTTTCGAACAAGCCCATAAAGCCATTTTCCATTCAGGGGTGTGTTGTGATATTTGCAAAATGAAAAAGTTAAGAAACTGTTTGTTACTTAGGCCTGCCTACACAGTTTACATTACATGCATCTGTTCATGTCTTGTGTTGTAGGCAAAAACAGCAAGATCATTTTGTTAGGTCAAAAGTGAGGTATAGCACAATTTAGCAGGAAACAAACAAAGAAAGATGTCATGATGAGCAAACATGTCAAGATGAGGTTAAGAGGCGAGTCATAGCAGGTTTTGTGAACGTTTCTTGATGTGTTTCTGTACAGTGCAATTCTACATTTTGCTCTGATGTATATTCAACTTAATCCGCTGATTTTGCTTCGCTTAACATTACAGAGGAGTTTCACATTAGAAACTCTTAACTGCAAACATGTGTGCGAGGGTAGTAATCTTTATACATAATTTGCAAATTTCAAAAACACAGATATTGAAAATTGGCTTTTTTCAGGAATCTCTTGCTGTACAAATACAAAAGATCCCAAGGAAATTAACTGGCAGACAGTTAGCCTGCGTAGCAGGCGTATAAAGGGGAGGGGGTGGAGGAAGAGGAAGAGAATTCGGGGAAGGGAACGCCCACTTCTTATGGATCTCTGCCTACTGTTTTATGGTTATCTGATTAACAGAGCTGTCAGTTCAATGACCAATCAGAATAAGGTGCACGCCTTTCTGCATGACTGACTTATGTGGGAAGGCGTGAAAAAATATTCATAGCAGCGAGCATTGTGACAAAATCTTCAGGCCGTGTAATGCCAGCAACTCCCACAAAAGTTTGTAAAAGAGGAAGAAAACCAAAGATAGACAATCAAAAAAAAAAAACAGCAACTGCAGATTTTGTGGAGTAACCTTTACTTCTGGAGGAGGAAGAGCGTCATTTGAAAATCTATTTTCGCTGTCGGGCAGAAAAGAAAGTGTTGGGCTGATTTTAGCCGACTGTTATGGCTCGATTGGGTTTCTACTAATGAGAGACAAAAACTTTTCAGAGCAGGTCTGTAGATCTTGTAAGAAATGCAGCTGAACTGTACAGTTTTTTCGAACAAGCTGTATGCAGCTTAAGAGTCGATGAAGATTTAAATCACCAGAATCATTGCTTTACCATTCAGTTCAAAGTCCTTGGCACAAACAAACATTTGATATATGAAGCTTTTGCTGTATCCTGCAGGCAACACCGCTAATACATCTTTTCCATCTAGAGGAGATTTTACTGGAACTTCTTGCTCCGGTTTTAACTTGAATTTACTACGAGCGACGACGCTCAAATCAGCCAAAACTCTTGCTAGCACATCCACTTCAGCCACCATTTTGGTTGTTTTCACATTACGTCACAAACCCATCCTATTGTCCAATTAACCAATCAGAATTTTGTGGCCGCCAACGAGCAGGCGTTCCTTTTCCCCTCCCCCTCCCACTCCTCGGTTTTTTTTTTCTCCCGAATTCTCTTGCAACTCCCCCATCCCCTCCACTTTATACACCTGCTACGCAGGCTAACAGAAAGTTGAAGCCATCCTTGAACATGTTTCAGGAGATTTCCTGGTGGAATTCATTGCTTACTGCGGGCATTTTTGGCACGTTTGTTTGAAGTACCAATGAATTCATTTCAGAGCAGCTATGGGTGCACTTGAAAAAAAAAAATCAGTTTTATTTGCAAGGAAAGGTTGAGTTGGTTTTGCTGCTGTTCAATTGCAGAAGCAAAAGACAAATAGGGATAGTGTGAAACTGATTGAAAACTTGCAATGAGCTGACTCGACAACGCCACAAATTATGACAACTTTGAAGGTTTTCTTCAAGAAAATACTGTAAACCGTTTCAAGTTGATTTCTCGCAAACAAGTGAGAATTTAAACAAATGAACATCCTTGTCATATGTATGGGACTGAGGTCTACCAGTAGACAAAGTATGGAGAAATTGAATTTTTGAGCTGTGTCCATGATTTCTTTAATCCTTACTGACATTTACTCTTAATGAGTTTGAGAAGTACTACAAAATACAGTTGAACTTACAGACTTGTTCTTCTGGTAGATCTTCTCAGCAGGAAGAACTCTTCCAGGCAAGTTTAGAGTTGTTTTTTCAAACTGAAATAAAAATACAGAAAGTCAGTCAACTTGCTGCTGCAGATAGCTATGCACTTACAACCCAGTGCAACAATTTGAAAGCATAACTAGAAGCTCAGAACTAGTAAAAGAGGTTGATGACCAATGTTAAAATGAATAGAGTGTTTTTCACCAAGGAAATTTGAACATTAATCTAATCAAGTAAATATTAAAATCATATTTTCATCAAAGATTATTGGAAGAAACACCTAGAGTCTTGACCACAATTCTATTCCCAGCAACGCCTTGTTATTATAAAGGAATGAATGGTTATTAACTTCTGGAGTGTTAGGTTGCCGGCTTCGGGGGAACCTTTTAAAATGTTTAAGAAATGTGGAAATCTTAGAGCTTTCTCTTAAGTTACTAGTCAATTCTATTGCTATAGTTTGCTCATTGAGATGACATCACTACAATACCTTACTATTTGATATATGTATTTATCTGATATTTCTCATTTTTTAACCCATTGATGCCTGTGCCACATGTAACTGCCCATGCAAAAAACCCCTCCAATTACCTGTGTGCCTGTAATGGCCCGAAAAAAAAGCACATTGGGACAATTGCCTCTCCTACCCTCCCTGAAGACTTATTGGTTCTCCTATTGTTCTAATGTTTTTGAGGACAAATAAACCAATCAGAATGGACTTTCTGAGCATATTTTTAGAGGACTTTAGGGGTCCTAGAAAGACTGTTTTTCTTCTTAGAAACATGCACTCGAAAAGTGCAGGTAATCATAGGGCGTTGAGGGCCAAATCTTAAAACTTCCAAGGTCTTGTTTTCATTCCTAACACAGATAAATTACTGCTTCAGGCTTTAAAATAGAAAGGAAAAATTCAAATCAATGTTTAGGTGGCCTCAAAATGGAGGATCAAGGAGTACAGAGTCCTCAAAATTTTCTGGTGAAGAAGTTTTCCTTCCTACAACCACCGCCACTTTCAGGTACGTTTTGACGACAGATTGCAGATTTAAAGCAGCTTTTCGGATTTAAGAAACAAAAATGGTAATGTAAATTATTACTTTGAAGTTGAATTCAACTTTTGGAATGATTGGTAACACCACTGGTGTTACAATGACTGCAAAAACTCAAGCTTTCGCGTTAGCATGGAGAATAATTTGAACATGCAGTCATGCAGTGAAGCACGTCTGCGAAATTTTGAACAACTTTTTTGCTTTTAAATAGGTTTCTTCATCTCAGCTAGAATGAAAATTTATTGTTATTGAACTTCCATTCGCATTTCTTTCATTTGGTGCTCTGTATTTGGGAATCTCAAAATAATTGTGAAATGTTCGTGGCTAGTCTGACGCGGCGTTTCGTCTCGGCCAAGAGACTCTTCAGAGACCTCTAGAATTCAAAGGCAAACTTGCTGAGCATCACGCCC